GGGGCTGGGGACTTTGGACCCAGAGAGGGAGAGGAGCTTGTGGGGTATACCCTGTAGTTGGGGGATGATGCATGGAGGGGAAACGACATACGATGGGATCAATGTGAAGCTAATATGTTCTCCCATGTAAGCTATCACATAACTCATAATAAAGCATTAAAAAAAAAAAGAAAAGAAACACCTTGAGCGGAAAGTCCATTGTTAGCCATTTCACCCTGGGAAGCTGATTTGTATCTTATCAGCTTGTGTAGGAGTCAGTGTCCTCCACAAAGTTACAAACTTTTCTATGAGGATGAAGACCATGTTTGAAGCAGAGGAAGAAACTGTCAGATTTCAGGGCAGGACATATCAACACAGTTTGCCGTGACGGTTTTGATGGTCCACATCAAAATGGGAGAATGTTGTTTATTATTATGTGCTCAACACGAACCTTTGGCCGATCTTTATGCCCCACCATAGTCATTAGTTGCCTTAATGTTTCCTTGGGTCTTTCCATTTCTATCAAAACTTGCTCCTTCTCTTTCCTAGTAAAAGCTAGAACTTTGACTAAGAATAGTAGTTTTGCAAGTCAATGTGACAATAAAAATTGTTTGAGTTTGAAAAAAAAAAACAAAAAACAGGACATGAACAGATGCTTCACCAAGGAGGAGATCCGGGCAGCCAACAAAATACAAAGAAATGCTCACGATCACTAGCCATTAGCTATTAAAGACATGCAAATCAAAAATACAATGAGATATCATGTCACACTAGCAATAACAGCAAAGATCAAAAAAGTAGAGGACAATAAATACTGGTGAGGATGTGGAGAGACTGGGACGCTCCTGCATTGCTGGTGGGATTGTAAAATGGTCCAACCACTCTAGAAAGCAATATGGCGTTTCCTCAGAAGGTTGGAAATAGAAATACCTTATGATCCAGCAAGTCCTCTACTTGGTATTTACCCACAAGAAAAACGAGCCACAACACGAGTAGACATATGCAAACCAATATCCATAGCAGCACTATTTACAATAGCAAAAAGATGAAGACAGCCTAAGTGTCCATCAATGGAAGAATGGATAAACAAACTCTGGTACATACACACAATGGAATATTATGCTACCTTGAAGAATAAGAAGGAAGCTGCAAGCCACCACATAACATGGATGAACCTTGAGGACATTATGTTGAGTGAAATTAGTCACAAAAGAAGAAATACTGCATAGGACCACTATTATAAAAGAGTACAAAAAAGAACCCATAATAAAAGGGGGGGGGGGACCTCTTCGCTGCTTACCAGGTGAGGGGATGGAGGGGCAAGGTGGAACACAGGGTAGGGAATAGACACAGGATGTTTGGATGCTGGGGAGGGGGCCAATACACAATAAGGGGGAGGGGAATGGAAGAACAAGGAGGATGGGAGAACAGTTAAGCAGGTTTGCATGGGCTAAGTGGGACAGAGGTAAATAATGATGCATGCACAACCCTGGAACAACAGGGCTCTGGGATACAGGAACTGAGTCATGGTTTGAATGTGTAAAATGTTTTATTGTGAATCAAATATTGGCTGGATGTCTTTTGAATCTTGGTTTCCTTTGCATACCATTGTAAAACAGATACTTTAGGGGAAGAGAAAGGAACAGCCAGAAATATCATCATAGAAAGCTTTTAAGTCTGTTTTCAGACTATAACTTACTGGAATACCTAAAATGGGGCTACAACTTGCCCAGTGAAGGAGACTTCCTGCAGAGCCACTGCATTGCATGTAACCATAGGTGGTATCCTGAACCCCATCCAGAATCTTCTGAAGTTAGAAATCTCCACTTGAAAGGACAAGCAAAAAGAAAGGACAAGAAAGAAGACTGAAAGGAAAAATAAAAAACAATAACGGCAGTCCAGCAGTCCAACTGACTACTACAAGAACAAGCTAGTTGTTCGCTCTGGAGACATCAAGGCAAGCGGCAGGTCCCCTTAGGGCAAACCACTTCCATGACTAAGACTCAAGGAGAATACACGAGCAGACATGTGCTCTGATTGGTGACCACATTGGTTACCAATAAGGGGAAAACAGCAATGAAGCTGCAAGCTAAGTCCTACCATGTTCAATAGACTCCTATAAACCCAGGTGGAGACCTGGTTGGCCAGCAGTATGGCAAGACCTGGGGAATCTTCAACCCAGAGTCAGTGACATAGTCACAGTACTAGAGTGGAGAGTGAAGCATCCAGCTGATAAGAAGTAAGGGCATATGCACAAGAACACCCACACTTACAGATAATACCCACTTGACCTGGCTTCAATAACTGATCAGAACTCAACTAGAAGAAAAAGAAGACGAAAAAAGTAATCTGATACAGTTTGATGAATTTGACCTATAGTTATGGATGCAGGAACTCAAAAGAGGGAACAAATCTTTACAGTGAGGACCATTCCCGCCCTCTCGATACACAAGGTAAACAGGGATGGGCAACTTGGACACTGGCTACCCAAAATGGGAGGGCTACAAAGACAAGAAATGACTTGGCTTACAAGCTTTCAAGAGGGAGCCTAGATCCAGAGGGTGCAGAGGAAGGTAGAATCTCCACTGAGTAGTATCCAATCTGTCTGGGTGGGGCTGATGAAAGAAGATGCGGATAGGACTTTTTTGGTACAACAGGGAATAATGGCTATCAGGATTGACTGTAAGGGACGGAAATGAAAAGGTAGACATTCTGTAGCACAAGGAGGGGAGTGGTTGACTTTGCAGTTCAGGAGCAGAGGTCCCTGGGACCATCAAGGGAGAAAAGCGGAGTGTGAGACCCTACCCAGAGAAAACAGTGATGCCAGAGATGGAGGCAGAGACAATGACGTGGAGAGATGGAGCGGCTGGGGACTCTACACCCAGAGAGGGAAAGGGGCTGTGTACTGATGACCAAGGGGCAGGCATGTGGGGTATACCCTTTGGTTGGCTGATGATGCATGGAGGGGATTATAACCATGGCAATGAAACGATATACAATAGGATGAATGTAAAGCTAATGTTCTCCCATGTAAACTATCACATAATTTACAAAATATAAAAGAAAAAAAAACAGAAAAAAATAACTCATCATCCTTCACTTCTCTTTTTCACATCCCAACCCCTAATCAATATTAACAAACGAAAACTGAAATAAATTGCTGTCAGCAAGTCCTCATATACTCCCCTTTTCATCATTTCCTTGACTACAAAAGTACAATTTTCCTATTTTTCACCTATTCAATTAGTACCCAAATTTAGATTTGAATGACTTACTGTTTTTCTTGCCTGTTTCATGTCTCAAATGTTTTACTGTGAATCAAGTATTGTTGCTGTTGTTGTTAGGTGCCATTGAGTTGGTACCAACTGATAGCAACCTATATACAACAGAATGAAACACTGCCCAGTCCTGGGCCAACCTCACAATTGTTGCCATGATTGAGTCCATTGATACTGCCACTTTGTCAATCCATCTCAATGGGAGACCGTCCTCTTTTCCTCTGACCCTCCACCCTACCAAACATGATATCCTTCTCCAGCAACTGGCCTACCTTGTTGTTAAGTGCCATCAAAATGCTTTTGACTCACTGTCACCCTATATAGGGTTTCTGAGGAGAAGCTGGTGAGTTGGAAGCTAGTAGTGAATCAAATTTAAATAATGTTACAACAAACCTGGCAATTTGAACTCTTTACTAAGGAGCTCTGGTAGCGTAGTTACGAGTCTGGCTGTGAACCACAAGGTTAGCAGTTCAAAACTACCAGCTGCTCCGTGGGAAAAATATGAGGCTTTCTGCTACTGTAAAGATTTATAGCCTTGGAAACCCTGTTCAGGGTTGCTATGGGTCAGAACCAACTCGATGGCACTTAACAACAACAAAACAATTTCATTTTTTAAATTTTTAGAATTTATTATTTTGGGGTGGGGTTTGTTGTTGTTAGGTGTCACTGATGTACACCAAAACACTCAGGAATATATAATAATTTAAACAACCCTAGGGCACATTCCACAAGCCTGCCTTCTGGCCACCAACTTTTCTCTTTTCATGAGTCTATAGTCCTCATCTACTGTATTTAAAAAATGCCCTCATCTCTGCCTCCATCTCTGGTACTGTTGCTTCTCTGGATAGGGTCCCACATTCTGCTCATGCTCTTTTCCCTTGATGGTCGTCCTCTGTTCCTGAACTGTAAGATGAACTACTCCCTCCTTTTTGTTACAAAACTTTTACCTTTACTATTGTGACAGTTACAATTAGTTTTATAACTTATTCTTAAGAATAGTAGTTTGGGAATTTTTTTTTTTTTGGAGTAGCCCACTTATGTCCATTGTTAATACCAGTTGCATGTACTTAATCTTATTTAACCCTCAAACAGAAGCTAATATTTGCCTCATTTTATAGGTGAAGAGGAGTCCTGGTGTGGCACTGTGGGTTAATGTGCTGGACTGCAAAGTCGGTTTGATTTGCAAGGTCAGCAGCTCAAGCTCTCCAGCTGCTCCTTGGAAACCCTCTACAGGGTAGCTAGGGGTCGGAACTGACTCAAAACATGTAACAAAAACAACAGGTAAAGAACCTGATGTTCAAAAGATTAAAGACTTTCCCACAATTAAATAGTCTAAAAGCTAGCATTTTAACTCTGGTGTGTCAGAGTTATTCTCATTTACATGCTAGCTCCCAACAATTGTTGTTGTTTAGTGCCGTTGAGTAAGTCCCTACCCATAGCGACCCTGTACAGGGTTTCCGAGGCTGTAAATCTTTACGGGAGCAGAAAGCCTCATTTTTGTCCTGCAGAGCAGCTGGTAGTTTCAAACTGCTGACCTTGAGGTTAGCAGTCCAATTCGTAACCACTACGCTACCAGAGCTCCCAATAATAGCTAATGGTAAATTAGTTATTTGTTGAATTCCAGCTCTGCTCCTCATCTACTAATCAGTAATAAAGGAACCAGGTCAGTTATACCGAGTTCTTAAACATAATAGTTTTGTTTCTGGCTTTAGAAAAGAAAATCCAAAGAGAAAGAAGACTTACGGCTGTTTGGAGGAAACTACATGGGCAGCTGGGGTCTTCAAGTGAACATTCATTTCCTCTGAGAACTCTTCCACAGTCTCAATGTCCACTTGTTCGTCTTCATCTTCAAGGTAGTCTACACGATTATTCTGAAATATATCATTCCAACAATTGGGAAACAAGGAAATCTAAAATTTTCAACTGAATCCTCCCCTTATAAAATCAACCTGCTACAAACATTGATCCTAAATGACTAACAATTCTAAACTTGTTCATTTTAAGAAGGAATTAAGTCAGAAATACAAGCAAAAGATCAGTAAAGAACTAGGAACTACATAAGTCATAGATACTACACAAATACCACTTAGGTTGAACAGTTGCCGAAAGGGCTGCACTGATGCTTTAGTGTCATCTAAAGGACATAATTCAGGTATGAACATATTAAGGCTACATGAACCTTAAGATTAAATAGCAGTAAAATAAAATTTGGTGAGAGGGAAAATGAAGGCAGGGGCAAAATTCAGATTCTGTTTTAAAGGCACTTCATTAACTAACACATCAGACACTCACAAATCAATACCCGTTAACATACTCAAGACAGATATGGAAATGGAAGTCTTCTAAGTCATTCAACCACAGAGAATGAGAGCTTTTGAAGAATTTCAAATTTCAGAATAAGCCCAGCCTTTCTATACTTGGCTTATACCAAAAATAAGTCAATCAGTAAGCATTTATTGAATACCTATGATAGTGAATCATTATATGATTTATATTACAGAATTGTACTGATGGATGGGATATGTCGATATTTTTAAGTCCATCATTAAAAGCACTGTTTTCTATGCCAGAAATTAAACAGAGGGTATGTAATCTATAATCTATGATGCTATAGGGTAAGTTGTTATTGTTGAGCGCTGTCAAGTCGGTGTTGACTCACAGCAACCCCATATAGGGTTTCCGAGGAGCAGCTGGTAAGCTTGAACCACCGACTTTGCAGTTCAAAGCAACCTTGCAGTCCAGCGCATTAACCCACAAGTGCCACACCAGGGTAAGTACTGGTCTGTTAATTGCAAGGTTGGCAGCCATAAGCGGCTCCTTGGACACCCTAACACTATGAGTTGTCACTTATTCAACGACACTATCATCTTATTATATGAAAGAATCACCGATCAAAATGAAACATCTCAACTGTCTTACTAATTCTAATTCTGTATTTAAACTTGTTGGAAAAATTGGTGTTGTTAAGTGCCATTGAGTCGATTCCAACTCTTAGCGACCCAGTATAGGGTTTCCAAGGAACAGCTGGTGAGTTTCAACCACGAATCTTATGGCTCAAACCAACCTTGCGGTCCAGTGCTTTATCCTACAGTACTACACCAGGACTCCACAAGACTGACAGACAACAAATACAAGCCATCAAGCTACTGAGCCCTGTTGTTAAGTGCCATGAAGTCATGTTCCGACTCAGTGACCCTACATAAGAGTTTTCATAGGAGCAGCTGGTGGGTTTGAACTGCCAACCTTATAGCTAGCAGTCTAGTACTTATGCTACAGCACCACACCAGGACTCATTAAGTCCTAGTTTCCTTAAATATACTTTTGTTCCTCACCCCAATTTAAGCACTTTACTTCTATTCAGTCACCAAGATCTGTACCCAATGACCGAAAGAGCTACAAAATTCTAAAGATCATGTTCTTTGACTGTCCTTTTTATACCTCAACCATAAAGTAACGATTACTTTGTCTTATCTAGCAGCCTTCGACATATTTTATAAATTCAAGATAATTGTGGTAGCAGATTCAAGAGTAAATATGCATTAAAACTGTATATCAAAATTAACACGGGAAGCAGAGTTCCAAAAGAATACAAAAGCAAAGAGTTTGAATTTGTCATTTACGTAGCTGCTATACAATGAAGAATGTTTGCCTACGTAGTCATGGTTTTAATTGCAAGCTTTGTAAACACCATCCAACAACTTTCACAACAGAATAATTAAATGAAGGAGACTACTTATAACTTTTCCTCAATCATAAAGATATTATAAACATGGATACATATATAAAATTTCTATTTTAGAAATCACTTAACATAATGCCCTTACTTAAAAATAAATAAATAAATAATCAATGTATCTTGTCAGATTCCCTATTAGTAAAATCAAAGCTATACTGTATGATTAAGATATTCTCAAGGTAGAGTCCAGAGTCCTGGTGTGGCACTGCGGGCTCATGCATCAGACTGCAAAGTCGTCTAAATTGCAAAGTCGGTGGTTCAAGCTCACCAGCTTCTCCTTGGAAACCATATACAGGGTCGCTACGGGTCGGAATCAACTTGATGGTACTTAGCAACAACAAGGTTGAGTCCTGGTGTGGTGCTGTAGTATTGTACTGGACGGCAAGGCCAGTTTGAACCACAAGGTTGGTGGTTCAAACTCACCAACTGCTCCTTGGAAACTCTATACAGAGTAGCTATGAGTTGGAACTGACTTGACAGCACTTAGCAACAATGTTCTAGAAATCAGTGCCCCTAATAGCAACAATTTTCACTGGTTTTAAAGTTAAGACAATTTTTAGTCTGATGCTTACCAAACATACTTACAAGGGGAAACTAAAACAGAGTAACTTCTAAACTTAATGACTTAAGCAAATACTTTGCACACAAAATATGTGTCCCTTGGAATATATTAAGGTATACAGAGCATGTAAGATAAATGTGAATTCAATCATTCAATTTTAAAGCTAGATCCTCACTTTACAAATGAAACAACTACTAAGGTATAGAAATAACCAGCATCAATTGTCAGAACATTTGAGTTTTAAAATACTAATTTGTATGCTATATTTTATCTGCATAAGGCAGCTAAGCCAAGAGGAGGACCAATAACAGAGAAGCCAAATTAATTTCACAGTTCTGAGGATCTGAAAACCTCCAGCTGCACGACAATCTGCACAGAGGAAAGTACTTTTTGCTGCTAAAGACAAGGACAGTTTAGATATAAAGGCACCTCACAAGGCAGCTAACTATGGTCTCAATAAGTTTTACATTAGACCCTATCTCAAGGGTTGGCAAACTACAGCATGCTGCCTGCTATTATATAAGTTTTTTTGTTTTTTTTTAACACAACCACCCTCAATCGCTTATATGTTATCTATGACTGCTTTCGTGCCACATCAGCAACTGAATAGTTGCAATAGCAACCCAGGTGCCTGCTTAGTCCAAATTATTTATTATTTGACCCTTTACAGGAAAAGTTTGTCCAACTCCTGCCAATACTTGGTCCTCAGTTACTTGTTCAGTAAATATAACCTTATTTTGGAATCCTAGGAAAATAGCTTCAGAAAAGTTAAAAACAAAAAAACATATGGGTTACATTACAAAGAAAGTTTACTAAAGTTTAGAATATAAGTTCTAGGAATTAGTTAATTATGTAAGATAATTAGAAAGGATTGTATTAAAATATTAGTCAGTGTTTTCTAGTTTTTTCTCCAGAAAGAAAAATGCAGGTATGTCAGCTCTCCTTTAGTTCTAAAGTTACCCACTCCCCCCTCATTTCTTACTACATCTATCAGATAAGCTTTCATCAACTCCCATAGAAAATGCCACAGAAATGAACTCAAATAAAATAGATTTCAAGATTTCTTTGTTTAAATTCAACTTAGAAGGAATTCTCAAGCACTAGTCCCTAAAGGCTTAAGCCAGTCTACCCATAATATCAGACAAGTCTCAAAAAATAATACATAAGCTCATTAAATGTTACCTGAGTCTAAAAACTAAAGTCATTTAATCATGATCTAAACCTACATCTGGAGTCCTGGTGTGGCGTTGCAGGATAATGCGCTGTACCACAATGTCAGTTTGAACGTCAAAGTCAGCAGTTCAAACCCACCAGCTGCTCCTCAGAAACTCTATACTGGATTGCTATATGTCAGAATCAGCTCGATGAAGCTTAACAACATCAAACCTACACCTATGCATCCAATTGAACATATTAATTTTTAGCAATCTTCTGAAAAAGCTCCCATTTCTAACATCCCTTAAATCCTTGGCGTTTCAATCACAACAAAAACGAGCTCATCACCTTTTCTACATCATCAACCTCCTCACTCTGGTAGTCAGAAACAACATCCACAATCTCATCAATAGAGTCATCAGTTTTCTCATTCTCATCTTCATCCTCCTCCTCTTCCAAATCCAAAACTGTGAAGTCAGTACTGCTTCTCCCACTTTTCTTCTCTTGCTTTGATTTGATTTGTTCTCTTGGTAACAGTAAGTGACCCTGAAAATGTCCATCCCCTCTGTTGCCTTTTATAGCTCTCCTCGGAACAATGGAAAATACAGCAGGATTAGAAATCCTACTCCAAGAATCACATTCAGTTTTTAAAACTCTGGAATCCTCCATAGTTCCACTTTTCCCAAGTAAATCAGAGATGCCTTGTTCTTGTTGAAACACATTTGAATTTTGCTGACCGCTGTTTGCTTCTTTAATTAACTGGTCATCTGACTCTTTCTTACATTCTTGTGAAGTTCCAACAGACTTCAGGGTCAAAGGGCCCTTCAGGTGTTTTCTCCATCTTTCTCTAATACTGTCCTTCTTTTCCACAGAATTTCTATATCCCTTTTCCTTGGACTCTGGCTGTAGATTAAGCTGTTGCTCCACAACTTTATTCCTTAAAAATTCAGGTTTATTTTCTTCCTTAGAGATGACTGGAAATTCACTTGGTTTTCCATCTGGATTGTCTATGATACTCTGCGGTTCCACTTTCACATCAACAAGTTTTTTAAGCTGGACATTACTTTCACTTTGGACTATCACATTACTGACTTTTTCAGAAATGGTCTTATCTTCTGTAACAGTCCGTTTTTCTTTGAAACTATTATGATTCGTAGGCCCACACTCTTCCCTGACATCTTTGTAGTCTTCATCTGGGTGTGACCCAGTGATAAAGGAATGCTTAGAAGACATAACAGTTGTAGAATCTTCTGCAACAGATTCTTCATCAAAATGATCACCCCCACCTTCTAAGGAATCATTCAGAGTTTCTTCTGAGGCAACAGCTCCTGGCTTTTGTTTTATTATATTAGCCTCTGGGTCTATAGCATCTCCTGGCTGTACAGCCTTCTTCATTTCCTGTTCTCTTAAAGAGCTTGCTTCATTTTTCTGATCGACATTCTGGGATTCTCTCTTCATCTGCAGGGATGCAACATGTTGAAGAATGGAGCTGGGTACAGGTTTTTGTCCTGGGAGCTGCAACAAGGCAAAACTGCCAGATTGTAGAGGAATAAGACTGGCTGTACTAACAGGCTGCCCTCCTGAACTATAGGTTATTTTGGTTTCAGAGCTGGTTTTACTTGCAAAGCTTTGTGGTTCAGGAGGGGAAATTCTCAGGGTCAAAGTACCAGCCTGAGACACAAAACTAGATCCAGAGGAAAGCAGTGATGGTGCCTGAGTAATGACATTCACTGCTGGAGAAGACCCAACAGCTTGAATTACAGGGTTCACAACAGAAAAAGCAGAAGCAGAGGATGATGCAGAAGATGGTGGCGTCTCAGAGGGCTTGGAAGGAGCAGGTAACCGAATTCCCATCACAGACCCTGGTAAGAAGAAAAAAAAACCTTAAATCACCATTGTGCTTATCAAAATTTCTAAATTTCCAAAGCTTTTCTTTTTGGACAGGTAACTAAAAGACTAAGATGACCAATCCTGGTATGTTAACACACCATAACATCAGCTGTATCTACAAAACAAAAGCTCATCAGAAAGACCTCTAGCTTCATACCTGGATTCCGAAACATGACAGGTTGTAAGTTGGGCTGGGTATTAGAGCCCCGAAGCTGATGCAAAGGGAGGAGTTGGACAATCTGCCCATTAGGGTGCCTGAATAGGTTCATTCCACTTGGACTCCTAACAGGCTGTAAGACCATCCGATGTCCCTGAAGTTGTGTGTTTGGGACAGGTCTAAGGGTAGGAGACCCCTGCTGCACTGGAATCAACAACAATCGAGGACCGGTACGTTTTACTGTATTAGGAGAGACCTGTGGATTAGCCACTGGAAGCTGAGGGGCATTTTCTGAAAAATAGGAAATGGAAATATGGTGTAAGAATTCTCTTTTAACATATGTAGGAAAAAAAGTATTATGACATAGGATATGACCATGCTGTACATAACTTCTAATTTCAATAATAAAGTTGTTAAAATCTTATACTTCTATTTAATACACTGATGACCGAGAACAATTTATTTTAATTTAAGCAATTAACCAGACTTAGCAGGATTTTACATTTAGAATAGTAAAAATTTTTCAAGCATCAATTGTCAGGAAATGCATTTAATAGGATAATGCTTCTGCCTAATGAAAAACATGGACAGGCCTCTAAATCTGAATTCTCATTAAGGTTAGAGAGATCATTTTTATAAAATTCTCTTCAATTTTTAAATTGAGTGGTTAATAAGACTAACAGAATTCTACTCAAGTTAAGATAAAATCAAAGACTAAAAATCACAAGGTGTAAAAAGTTGCTTGGCTTTTAAAATTCACTTATGAATAAGCAAAGTTTAAAGATGTGTAGAAGTTATGTTTCAAAAGTAAAAAATACATACCCCCCAAAAATGGAATGAAATTAAGAGACATCAAAGAGCAGGGAAATAAAGCCTGGTTAGGAAAAGGCAAAAGATAGTCTTAAAACAAACAGAAAAGTCATTAACTTAATTCAGAGTTGTAAATTAAAAGGGATTTCAAAACATTAATAGTACCTAAAGATACACTTTAATATTTGGAAGCTATATGTAGAAACATTAAAAACATGAAAGAAATGAGTAGTTTACAGGTTTTGGGGCCATGAGGATAAGGACACAGAAATAATAAGCATAAATGACAGTAATCTACCATTTTACAAACGGGTAAGCTTAATTAATATTGCTAATAATAGAAAAACTTTTCATTAGTTCATCCCTAATAGAAAAATCAGCAAACTAAACAGAAAAAGTTCAGTGTAATGAGACAGGCATAATGCCAAGAAACTTACTAAATTCCTAACCTTTAAATGACAAAAATGTATAAATATGTAGAAGACCTAAGGCTGTTTTTGAAAAGGAAATAAAACACAAAAACCAAACTGTGTGTGGGAAAAAAATAATGGGTGATTGAAACAATAATACAAATCTACCTTATATGAATTAAGACACATGTTAAAGCATTTTTAATTTCTTGACTTTTCAAATTAAATTTTGAGTGATTCAGAACAACTCTAATATGTACATTAAGTATTCGTGTTCCTGTTGATTTAAATGTGGGAGAGGAAGAGGGGAAAGAGAAAAAAGGGACGTTAAATGAAAAAAATTCAAAAGATTTTTAAGTGCTTAGAGTTGGGATCCTCTTTGTGAACTGTGAACTGACAACATATGCCTTCCTTAGAAGTAGCAGGTATCTGATTCTGTACCATTTATAAAAGCAGGCAAGGAAATTTGTTAACAACATTAATATTCCCTAAAATGATGCTGCAGAAGATAATTTTAGGTGGCATATAGATAAAGAGTAACATTACATCAACACTGTCAGAGAGTAATTTCCTTTTCCATTCTAGTGCTATACAACAGGAGAAAATATCAGTCTATGATATTATGTCTTTACATAAAATGTCCAATATTTTCTAGTTCTCTTCATGAACAGAAAAAGCAAGTCACATGTAAAGAACATATTAACTAGCTAAAATTTATAATAATATTGATGTTTCAAGTATATTTATCCAAGGGATTACACCTCTATTTTCGTTAAGTCTAAAAGTGGTTTTCATTTAAGACATTATATTTCAAAATATATTTAAGAGTTATAAGAGGAAAGTCCGGTCTCAAAATGGAGGTAAAACCAATGCCAGTCACCCTCAGCCTGACTTCCTCCAGCTGTTGCTGTCGCCGCCAGGGGAGGAGGATCATGATCCAAAGGAACCAGAGCAGTTGCAAAAACTGTTTAACTGGTGGTCTGAGCTTTGAAACTACAGGTAATTTAAGAGAACATTTCAAGAAATGGGGCACACTCATAGATTGTGTGGTGATCAGAGATTCCCCAGACAAAACAAACCAGGGGTTTTGGTTTTGTGACTTACTCTTGCATTGGAGGTGGATGCAACAATGTGCCTGACCGCACAAGGTTGATGGGCGTGTAGTGGAACCATAGATAGCTGTTTCTAGACAAGATTCTGAAAGCCTGGTGCCCATCTAACAGTGAAGAAAATTTTTCTTCATGGAATTAAAGACACAGAAGAATATAATTTGAGAGACTACTTTAAAAAGTATGACAAGATTGAAACAGAGTGGAAAAAAGAGATGATTTGCTTCTGTAACTTTTGATGATCATGATACAGTTGATAAAATAGTTGTTTAGAAATACCACACTATTGAATGGGCATAACTGTGAAGTGAAAAGGGCGCTTTCTAAGCAAGAGATGCAGTCTGCTAAATCACAGAGGTCATGGAGGTGTATCTGGCAACTTTATGGGTTGTGGAGGGAACTTTGGCTGTGGTGGAAACTTCAGTGGAAGAGCAAACTACGGCAGTGCAGGGGCTGTCAGCAAAGGTAGTGATGGTGCAGGTGATCCTGGTTATAGTAGTAGAGGGGGCTATGGTGGTGGTGGACCAGGATATAGAAACTAAGGTGGTGGATACGGTGGTGGTGGTGGAGAATGTGATGGTTATAATGAAGGAGGAAATTTTGGCAGTGGTAACTATGATGGTGGTGGGAACTATATTGATTTTGGAAATTATAGTAGACAACAGCAATCAAATTATGGAACAAAAAAAGGGGGTAGTTTTGGTGGAAGAAGCTTGGGCAGTCCTTATGGATCTGGTGGTGGAAGCAGAAAGGAGCTAGCTACAGTTCTTAGCAGGAGAGAGATCGAGGAGTTTTCAGGAAAGCTTCAGGTTACTATAAGGCAGTCATCCCAAATGCATTAGAGGAACTGTAAAAATCTTGCCACTGAAGGTACGATGATACATAGTCAGAAAAGTTACTGCAGCTTCAACATGAAACCCTTCCTGTTCAGGACTATCATAGCCACAGTTTGCAAAAAGTGCAGCTAATATTAATGCAATGTAGTGCCAATTAGATGTACATTCCTGAGGTCTTTTATCTGTTGTAGCTTTTTCTTTTCATTACATCAGGTATATTGCCCTGTAAATTGTGGTATTGGTACCAGGAATAAAAAATTAAGGGTTTTTAAACTTTTCAGCATTTGTGTAGTTCAGGGTTTTTACATTTTAGTACAGAAACTTTGACAAAATGCAGTTTTGAAGGTGTTTCCTTGTAAGTTAACAAGTAAAGATCATTGTTAATCATTATTTTTTATGAATTTAGCTAACATAGGCTTTAAAGAAACACCTGCTGACTTGCAGTTTAAATGGGGAATTTATTTCTCCCCATTTCCAAACCATGAAATGAATGGGAACTGATATGTGAAGAGACTAAATATTTGTATGTTTGCTTGCACTGTGTGTTTTAGATAACAACTAGGATTGGATATTTCAATTAGTATATTTGTGAATTTAATAGCATTAAGATTTACCTTCAATGATAAAAATCTCAAAATTCCTATTTCGTTTTTTTGTGCATTTTCGATTTAAAAACTGCAATTAGATTTGATTTAGTGTGTTAGCTTTGTTAAGAGTCCTAGCTGTTTTTAAAAAACAGTACATTTACTTTGGTCACATTTGAACTGCTGCCATAATTTTATTTGGGTGTAAAGAATTTTTGCTGCCCTCAGCTTAAATTTTGGAATGGAGCAGTGGATATTTACACTTTCTTCCTACTTTAAAAATTATTCTTAAAAAACTTCAAAATACAGGCCTGCTGTACCCAAGCAAATTAGTGGCTACCTTTTAAAAGAAAAAAAAATTTTGAAGCACAAGGGGCTTATTAAATCTTCAGTTCTTTCCCTTGGTTTAATTTTTTTAAATTGATATAAACCCTCAGAGCAAGAGACTAAAAATCATGCATTGTTGAACCGTTTACTGGCTGGTATGCTTTCCTGTTTGCACTCTCTGCATCTAACTGGATGGAATCAAGGCTAGTCGAGGTGTGATCCAAAATAACTCACTACAGCAGCAATGTAGCACAGCTGCTTAGTACAAGTGTCTCACCTCCCAAAGACCTGAATTCAAATTCGGATAATCTGAGCCCTTAGTCTCATATAAATTTACCCAAACACTGTTATTCCACATATGTTTTAACCTAAATCATATGGATGTGAGTTACCATTTTGCTTGGAAGACCATGGGTTGAGGAGTTTTAGATAATGACCTTTAGATAAGGTCATATATATAAAAACCAATGTCTGTTTTACACCAGTTAGCACTTAATAATTTTATTTGAGCCCAAAAATATGTGCCCTGCTGTTCTTTTTCCTTTGACAGTTGAACACCGAATTCAGAGATTCCTTTAAGTGTAGTACTAAGCAAAACAAGCAATAAAAAGGGGAATGAGGTGTGCTTAGTGTTTGAGTATGTTCTCTCGTTGCTCTAATGCTACGCCCTCTGTGCATTAATACTTGGATGCATGCAATGCCAGCATGAAAATTGGTCTTCACAGATCCTACAGTTTTTCAGAACACACTCATACATAAACTAATAAATGTAGCAGATAATATTCCATTTGTTAATGGGCATATGTGAATTAGCAGTGTAGAAAATAGGCTAATATTAGAAAATGGCTAAGTCCTTATTAACTTCAAGTATGTTTTTATAACTGGGCACTGTCAATGTTTATAACATATACCTGGTTACTTGGTCAAAATAATGCTTGGGAAGCATTTTATTGAAATTGAACTAAGTTGTCAAAACAAACAAATTTATATGTAAGTAAACAAATGAGCTGATTTCAATAAAAATGAATGACAGTAACAAATGGGACTCAAAGCCAAAATACTTGAATGTACATTCTGAATGATCGAAGTCTGAGAAACAATGAACTATAAAATTGCTCAATGAAGAAACCTATAAGAAAGATTGGAACCCATATCTAAACAGTTAAAATATGACAGATAACGAACCTTGAGATTCAATAGGAAATCAAAGCAGTTTCACAAACAATGACCTCATTACCAAAACTCTATACTAATAATTTCTTACATTTTTGTTTATGAGAACAAGCAAAAGATTACAACCTTCAACTTATTAACTAATTTCCAAATCACTTCTTTAAAAAAAGACCTATGGGAATTTAAAGCATGTCACTAAATCTAAAAATACCTAATAGGTTAAATATCAATAAGCAAAATAGTTGCTGAAGGGTACTTATTTCTCTTACAGTTCTCAAAAGTTTTGTACTCTTTTTCACATTAATTTCACTGAGTAGATTAAAAGAACCACTTACTTTACTTAGCTGCATTACAATACGAAATTAGCAATTAGGTTATTCTGATTTCAAATTCATTAACTTTTAACCCAGCAAGAGAAAAAATTTAGTTTTAACTTAAAAGTTCATGTTGTTGTTGTTAAGTGCTGTAGAGTCGGTTCCGACCCATAGCAACCCTGTACAGGGTTTCCGAGGGTATAAATCTTTACGGGAGTAGAAAGCCTCATCTTTCTCCCGCAGAGTGGCTGGTAGTTTCGAACCGCTGACCTTAAGGTTCACAGCCCGATTCGTAACCACTACGCTACCAAAGCTCCTTAAAAGTTCTTAAGCATATATAAATTATTCTAGGTCCTACTCAATAAAATACACACCTTTATTTCTCTTTTAATCAGCTTAGGTATAATAAGAGCATAATGTCAATATTACATGGGAGTTGTGCTGACTCATAAGTGAATTTTACTAGGAAAGAGTTGCTAGATGAGCAGGAGGTACAATTTTTAACTTCAACAAGATAAAAGATAGTTTGGTTACAGCATAGGCAGAAGTCTTCTCAACTCTCTCTTTTAATTAAAAAGCAAAAAAAAAAGAGTAGAACACCAGTATTTGGGGCTCCCTCTCCTCAGAGATGTGTTCCCCTAGCTTCGTGTAGCTCTCAGTATATGGCAGGTTGTGCTTCCTCTCTTGTGCCCACCTTAGTTAACTACTCTGACTCAGAGCTCAACTCCTATTTGCATTTCTCAGTATCCTCAGTCAATATTTCCATTCTACTATTTTGAGTATTTTGAACATCTCTGGAGAGAACTTCCAGCCCCACTACACTAATTATCAGAGTTGTTTAAATTATCTCAAGTACAAGTTACTGTTTTTATTAGTATTCTGGCTACAAAACAACATAGGTTTTCAGTGATGCTTCTTAATTATAATTCATGTTTTTAGTGTTCATTTTTGCAACAAGCAAAGGTTTTCAGAAACGCATGTGTCATGTTATAGCAGAAACACCTACACTATTAGCCTAATACATCTATAAGCCTATCACAAGCACAAAGTTATATAAATAGCTGTACAGTAAAGCAGCTAATAACATCTAGGCCTTACCTGGTCTCTGGCTCACTGGTGGACTCCCATTAATTCCCGAGAGTATAATAGGAACAGAGCCCAGAGATGAAGTTGGTGTGGTCACCATGGAGGAAGATGCAGCTGTGGTCACCACGACTATGGAGGTGGAGGCAGTGGAAGCAACAGGAAGAGTTATGGTTGGAGAAGATGCTACCAAAGACTTAGGAAAAGCAATTGAAGCCACAGGGGTAGTTATCCCAGTAGTTTTGGCAAGGTTCCCAGTGGCTGTAGACTGGGTAGGTGTTATAGGGGTGCTGGTATTAGTTTCAGAGACCTCAACAGCCCCTGCAGTGGTGGCACCAGAAGAGTAAGTAGTTTCTTTAGTTCCCATGTCAGAAATAGCAGTCATAGGTGTCACAGAAGGAACATTTTCTAAAATCACTTGAGGGGTGGTAGTAGTGACAGCAGCAGTCACAGGGCTGCACACCTGAACTGGCTCAGAAGAAACCACAGGTGTGACGACCATTACTGGAGAAGGTTTGATACTGAACTTCTGTGGCCCTGTCAGGGGTTGGGGTGTGCTAACTCCAGGTATCTTCTGCTGCAGGGCTCCAACTTTACTCATCACAAACTGTGTGAACACACCACCAGGAGAGGGTCGAGCCGCTGCAAATAAAAATTTGCAGGTCAAAAATCTTCAGTTCTCATATTTTATCCTCGTAGTGAATGTGTCTATCAACATTTATTGTGCACCACTGGGTCAATTTCTTACAGGTACTAGCTACCTGCATTATGTGTGCCAATTTCTACCCACAGAAATGAAACCATTTCCCTCAACCCCAACCAAACCCTTATAATTCTAACGAGAAAGGGATTAAAATGGGTGTTCTTACAAAAATTTCTTTGGCTATGCAATATTAAAAAATTGCTAGGACACTAAAAGGCAATATAGCAGCAAACAACTTTATCACCTAAAACAGATGAAAGAAAGTAAAGGGGAGAGGATTTTTTTCCCTAACGCAAAAACTTAGATTTGTTTATACCACCTCCTCCTGCCCCAGCACCTCCACCTCTTTATTATTAACCTCTTCTAAGACAGTTAAGCTTTACATATTCCTAAAATGTATACATTTTTTAAGAGTGGAGGGTTGTTGTTGCTGTTGCTAAGTGCCATCAAGTCAATTCCGACCCATAGCGACCCTGTATAGGGTTTCCAAGGGGCAGCTGGTGAGCTTGAACCACCGACCTTGCAGTTCAAACGATTTTGCAGTCTGCCGCATTAGCCCACAGCGCCACGCCAGGACTCAAGAGTGGAGGGTACGACTGCATTAAAAAATCACTAGTTGAATATACTTTAAAAAAAAAAAAGTAAAATGGATTCCTTTTCAGGCATACAGTGTCTATCTTGGATCTTCATCTACCTCCAGCATTCAACCAGAGATTTCAATTTTCTATTAGAGGAATAAGAATCTAGTAATTTGCACCTTTACTTAACATTCCCATGTAGATTTGAAACAACAAAAAGAAGAGTTCAATAAACCAACTGTGAAGACAATCTGAATGCTAAAATACAAACACTTCAACAAGGAGGTGATTTATTACACACTCTAGTATTCAAGTAGTTAAGGGAAAAAAAAGATTTTTATTCACAGATCAAGTATGAACAGAATATATTGCCCAAAGTATGTTTTACAAGAGCCTTTTACTTTAAACCTACAAGTTTAAAGAACATATAAATTAACTGGTTCCAGAATACCAATCCTCATAGGAAAAATACTAGACTATGTAAAGTATTTAAAATATTTTGTCCTTTTTAAAAACAAATTAAAACCTAAGTCTTTTCTTCATTAATAAAGCCAATCTAAAAGCCTGGAAAATAACAGCTGTAAAAACAAGTAGAATTCTATTTATCCAGCATCATAAACCATTAAAAGTATTATAAAAATTAAAAAAAAAAAAACTTGGAAGGCTCGAAGATTAAAAATAACAGATGCTGTATTTCTCTTAGCTTTATATCTGTACTCATTGATTCAGTACTGAATTACAAACCTTTCCAAAATATCTGTACATTTCAACTTACCAATCGGCCTTTTTGCTGGGACAAACGCCTTCAGATTCTTCCCAGGGCGATTTGATGTAGTGCTGGAGGATGATGTCATTTTGGAATTGGATGTTGAAGGCAACAGGGTACGTGGTTTCCTGGATGCAGCCACCTTGGCATTGGATGCTACCTTGGAGATGACAGTACTGAGGGTTGAGAGGTCCAGGACTGAGGGTCGCAACCTGCCTGTGATATAAGCAGCTAGCCTATTGGCTGGATGCAATGCCCCCATCTGTCCCAATAGCAACTTAGCCTGCGGGTAACTCTTACCATTAACCTGAAACAAGTGGCAAAGAGAAATTTTGTAAAGATAAAATTCTCTTGCTAACTCCTCTCCCTTGACAAGGGTTTCTTTCATTTTTTACAAGGTTTCAAAAGTCTAATTTTCAGATTTCAAAGGGAAAAAGAAATTAACTTTTTCCATTCAGGATAATCTGAATAATTAGGAGACTGGGGGGAAGGGGGCAAGGCAGGATATACTGCCAACTAATATTCTGAACTAATTTAATTTCATTTAGATAGTCAGGCACAGATAATCTTAAAATTAAGTGTTTCTATATCACATATATGAAAGATGTCATCACATCCAACTGTTTTAGTTGTCACAATAAGTCATGCTGGTTACACTACTAACAATCATCAGCAAACATGAATAACTGTGTTCTGAAGAATCTCTCTGGCAAGACCAGAGAAGCTTAATGAAGCCCTCTCAAAAATGGACTTTTCATGTACTCTTCATATTAGAAAAATATATGATAAATCCAGTTTTAAGTTATAAGACAACCACTGTTAATAATAACCTAAGCAATAAAATCATTTCAGTTTTCGATTTTCAAAGGACTCAATTTTGAAGATACTGTCTTTCTCTCTTGGACAGATCTTGGGCAGGGGGAAAATATAGTAGAAATGCATTCTAATTCAAATAGTAGTCACTAAACTGTCAGGAGAAAGTGAACCAGCAAATAAGGTCAAGATTGACTCTAGTGCCTGAATTGATTAGACTGTCCCATCTTAGACAATAGCATAGTTATAAAGAAAAATAAACAAAAACCTACTAAAGTTTTTTACTCATGTTCCCTAGGTCATACTGATGGTGACTCTAGATAAGACATACTTTTCTGTGCCTCCTTGTTCTCACTTAAAAAAAATGGAGGATCACTAAATAAATAAGGAATTGTTGAGAATAACAGCTAAAGCAAATCATGAGACAAAATTACTCTTTGCTACTTAAGTAAAATTACGATTGTTCCTAGAAGTATCAGTAATGTATTTGCCTCGAGTTTGATACAAAGAGCCTGATAACTGTATCCTAAAGTAAACTACACGATAGTTTTTTAAACAATATGGCCAGATGTCCCTAACTTGCCTTCCTTAGGACTTGCTCTGAAGACTTCCCCAAAATTAGTATTACACTGGCCTGAATGCTTGTGCAAGTTCAAATTCTATGTTAGCTTTGTGAGTATTCGAACAGAAGAGAACACAAAATTTCTATTCCCACATTTCAGAGAGTCTAGTCTTGTTACACATGATCTCAGTAAAAGTCTCGGTTTTCAAAGTACCAATCAATAAATGGGTAAAGCAGAAAATGCAGTTCTCCTCATAATTAAGAGTTTAAGAAGTACCAATAAAAATCACTGCATAGCACTAGTAATGGTAAGTAATCAATCATAATATTAATGGAGAGGTTTTTAACTTGGAAAAGCAGCCAAGCTAATAAAGTCAACTGACTAAGACAACAATGTCAAACACTTCCACACATATGTTACCATAATATAAAAGTACATTTAACAGTATTAAGCAAAAAGAAAAAGTTTCAGACTATGACTTGCAGTTCAATTCAGAAACTTTGCATTCCAAATGATTTTCTACACGCCAGTGTAATTTTACTAATATAATCTGCCTAAGTTTCTAAATAGCAATAATGTATTTATTCTAAATCAAAGGTTAGCAAATTCCACATAAAGAAAAACTAATTATGAAATCAGAAATTAATAAGACAATGTAACAATCTCATATTTGAAAAGCACCTTATTAAAATTTCCCCCCAAGTCTTGAATATGTATTGCCTATCCTAACGTTAATTTCACCTTCCCCTTATTACCTATCCCTAACATGCTATATATGGATTAAAAAAAAAAAGTTTTAAGAAAAACAATTTTCTGAGAAAACAACAAAGAAAATTATAAGCTAATATGGGGTACCACATGATATCAAGCTCACTAGGGACTGTGAAAACTAAAAATATCACCTAAGTAAAAAAAAGATGCTATACCCAGATTAAAGGTAATTCTCACCTGGATAAGTCCAGATGTGCTTGAACTGGGTTTACGTTTATAGGCCACAAGCTTCCCTGCAGGAGAAAGCCCTGCATAAAAAGGCAGACCTTTGCCTCCATGCAATCTTTCCCTCACTGAATCCAAGGCAACTGTCTGCACAGAAGTGAGATCATCCATTTTCCCAGGGGATAATGGACCATCAGGAGTCTCTGATTCAGATTTCTCAGCCATATCATCTTGGTCTTGACATGATGGCATAGAGATTTTCACACGAGAAGAATAAACAGGAGGGTTCTTCTCACCCCGGCTCTTTCGCTGAGAAGCCAACTCAATGATGAAGCTGCCCACCTTAAGAGATTGTGGCATGTTGCTATTGATGTGCTGGGATAAGATGCTCAAAATCTTGTTCCGATCCTCCTCCCAGTTGCAGTCTGAGATGATCTCTATCAGTTTGGTGGGACCGCCAGGTGACTTCTGATGCATATAGGAGGTAGAAGAAGATTCCCCTTCATTGCAGGAAGACTTCCAGCTCTTTTCTGATAAAGAATTGAGAAGTATTTCTGCATTACATAATTGAACTTCACTTTGAAAGACTTTTATCTGACCAGAAAACTGTCAGGAACAAATACATGACAGTTCCTCAGTGTCCCATTCCCATGTACTTTTAGTGATAGTCCAATATACAATGTAACACAATTTGGGTATTTTTAAGAAAGGAAGATCTTAGAGAATTAAACTACACTAGTATTAACAATCCTCAACTGGATCTTAGAGAATTAAACTACATTAGTATTAACAATCCTCAACTGGATCTTAGAGAATTAAACTACATTAGTATTAACAATCCTCTGACTGGACTCTAATAATATAAGGAGTCTTTCAAGATTGCACTAAAATAAGATGCCATCTTGCAAACAAAGTATGACCATAACCAAGCTTAAGCTTGTTTGGTACAATTTAGTATTATTCTGCTGTCAACATATGCAAAGCAGTGACACTATAAGATGTTTTAGAACACATGAATGGTAGAGTCAATCCTAAAGACAAGGAAGAGTACTGGTTAAAAAAAGAAAATATACTGTATTTCTACAGCAAATACTTCCACAATATGAGGAGGCTTCAAAAAGCTCATGGAAAATGGAATTGAAAGATAATTTCCTCTGGAGATGATTGATCAAATTCGACAATGTATGTCAATCACTCATCTTACAAATGTATTTGCATACATGGCAACATGTTAACTAGATATCTATTTTACTAGATACCCAGATTTCTACAACAGAGCTTCCCAACCAATGTGTTACAGGAATGCCAAGATACATATCCTTTCAGTCCTCAGGGGTCCACCAACTGTCTGTCAGTTTGTCCTACTATATGATGACTTGTCTGTTGCTGTGATGCTGGAAGTTATGCCTCCATTATTTTAAATACCAGCAGGGTCACCCATGGTGGACAGATTTCAGCAGACATTCTGGACAGACTAAGAGAGGTGGATAACTTTTTGATGGTTTAACCATCAAAAACCTTATGAATAACCAAACCCTGTCAACATATGTAGTACTGTAAGATGAGGGGAAAGCTGCCATCTCAGAGTAGAGTTGACCTTAATGACGTGGATGGAGTTAAGCTCTCAGGACCTTCATTTGCTGATGGGGCACAACTCAAAAGGACAAGACACAGTTGCAAACAACCATTAAAAATTGGAACATGGAAAGTTGTTGTTAAGTGCCATCGAGTCGATTCCAACCCATAGTGACCTTGTATAAGGTTTCTAAGGAGCAGCTGGTGCCCTTGAACCACCGACCTTGCAAATCAAACGATTTTGCAGTCTGGCGCATTAGCCCACAGCACCACTTCAGGAATGTACAACACATGAATCTAGGAAAACTGAAAATGTAAAAAATGAAGTTGAATGCATAAAGATTGATGTTCTAGGCACTAGTGAGCTGAAATTGACTGATGTTGGTTATTCTGAATTAGACAAATGCCAGGAATGACAAATTGAAGAGTAATGTCGTCACATTCATTATCAAAAAGAACATTTCCAGATCTGTTTTATAGTCTGTGACAGAATAATATCCATATGCCTATAAAGTAGAACAGTTAATACTACTATTCAAATTTATATACCAACTGTTAAGCCAGTGATGATGAAATTGAAGCATCATACTAACTTCTTCATTCTGAAGTTGATCAAACATGCAATCAAGATGCACCGATTATTATTAGTGATTGGAATGCGAAAGTCAGAAACAAAGAGGAAGAAATCTATAAATGGAAAGCATGACCTTAGTGACAGAAATGATGCGAGAGATCACATGATAGAATTTTATAAGACCAATGACTTATTCACTGCAAATATCTTTTTTTCAACAACATAAAAGGCAAGTACACCTGGATCTCACTAGATGAAATAGACAGGAATCAAAGTGACTACATCTGTGCAAAGAGACAGTGGAAAGGCTCAGTATCGTCAGCCAAAACAAGACCGGGGACAGACTGTGGAACAGGCTACCAACCACTCACATGCAGTTCAGGCTGAAGAAAATTAAAACACGTCCATGAGAACCAAAACTAAGACAATGAGTATACCCCACCTGAATTTAGAGAACAGACTTTTTTTTTCCCCCCTTGAGAAAATATCAAAGAAAAACTTTAATTTCAAAGGAAAGCACACCATTCTGTGTTCAGCCTTATTATCTTTTTAGGTTCACAGCAAGCAGTCTGGCTGTGAGTTAAACACTGTCCAGTGGCCAAAAAGACGGCCCTTTCTATCAAAGCTCTGCACATCAAAAAAAGAAAGTCACACCTGAATCGTGACTACACCCACAAAAATAATTCCATTTCAATGCTGAATGAGTTCAACTATTGCTATGACCCTGGATTTAAGGAAACAAGGGTGCTCAGTCATCGCTGTCCTCCTCATGTATGTCAACAATCACTGCAGAACCATCGCTGTTCAGCATCACCATGTCTGCAGTTTTCAGATGCTGAATGTTAATACATAAATGTTTCACTTTGGGCAATGAAAAGAGTCTTTCCAAAGGCACATAAAACACATTTCCAATGCAGAACGGCTTGGGAGTCTTCCCCAGGTTGGTACTGAATTGGGTGAGGACCAGCTGCAAGTATTGAAAGGGGGCCTCTGTGATGCCGGTGTCTTCTGGCAAATCCCGGCAGTCCCCGTCATCCTACAACTTCAGACTTTCCAGAAGATCCCTCCTCATGCTGTAGACTTGGGAAATCACTTCACTCACCACTGCATATTGGTGATACTTTTTTTTGCTGCAAACTTGGGTATGTGGTGGTACAAACAATTCAATACATGTTATCAAGTCAAATCCAAGCAAACTGTAGTCTCTCTCCACAGCAGAGCCATGATACAACGTAACAGTCAAGGTCCTTTCCCTGGGTTTCAGATAGTCGCCAATGAGGGGAGACAACTTATACTTTTCCGTTGCAATTTATCCTTGTTGGTATCGACTCCAACAAGCAGTTCAATGCACTTGTGGAATTTTAGCAACCATAAGAGCGAAGGATCACCACAACCTAAGTCTGAAACCTTCTTGGGTTCATGTTGGCTCACTAAATCTTGAACGAACTGGCACTGCTGTTTGTATAGCGGAGGCTTAAACTTAATTACTGTCCTGGTAACGTCTTCAAAATTCTCATCAACCACATTTTGACACTGTAGGTTGTTTTTGTCCATTAGGAACTAAATCCTGTTGGAAGCAAACACGCAGCTGTATCCTTCAAGCACGTTCAGTAAACATGTGCAAGAGGAAAAGCAAGGTGCAGCCAAGTAGATCAACCACTCTCTGAGCCAGCAGACAAAGCATTTAACTCATGCCTGTGTCTGCCGCCCACGCACGCGTAGCCTCACTATGTAACGTTACCCATCTACTCAAGAACAGATCTGATGCATTAGACACTAGTGACTGAAGACCAAAAGAGCTGTGGGATGACAGCAAGAACATCACACAGGAAAAAAGGAAAAGGTTGTTAAAAAGTCAGGAAGCCCCTCCGAGACTGAAACTCAAAGGGAACACATGATGAGCAGGCATGTGAGCTTGTTGGCAACCACTTGTTGGTCTACTGGTGAGTGGAAGAGGGGGAAAGGCAGCAATGAAGAAATGGGCTGAGTTCAACTGCAGTCCATTGACTCTCGTTGACCTGGAGATGAGAGAGAGGAGAAGAAGGGCTGGTTGGTCCAAAATGTGATGAGACCTGGGGACTCCTAAGCCCATGGACAATGACATAGCTACGGAGGGCTATAGCTGAGAGTGAAGCATCCAGCTGATATGAAGTAAGGGAAGATGCACAAGAACACCCAAACTTACAGATAGTACCCATTTGACCTAGCCTCAATGGTTTGATAATCAGAACTCAACCACATGAAGATTAAAAACAACAACAACAACACAATTTTCATAAAGGAAACGAGTATAAATTGCTACAATTTGATGAACCTGACAAATATTTATGGATGTAATAGCTCAAAATACCAACAAAGAAGGACGGAGTCTTCACAACAAGTATCAATGCTATTCCCTCTGTATATATAGGGTAGATAGGGATGGGCAACTTAGACATTGGCTACCTAAAATGAGGGGGCGATAAAGGCAGGAAGTTGTCTGGCTTACAGGTTTTCAAGAGGCAGTTTAGTTTAAGAGTGTGCAGGGAAGATAGAGCCCCACTGAATAGTATTCATCTTGTCTAGACGGATCTGGTGAAGAGATGGGGATAAGATTCTCATGATTCAATAGTAATTGTTATCATGACTAATTCCAAGTGTCACAACTCTAAAGGTAGAAGGTCTGTAACAACAGGGGAGTAGCTAATTTTATAGTCCAGAAACACAGAACCCTAGGACCATCAAGGGAGAACAGCACAAGCAGAATGCGGGACCCTATCCAGAGAACCAGCAACACCAGAGATAAGGGCATGGAGAGAGGGAGTAGCTGAGGACTCTACACTCATGGAAAGAGAGGGAATGGATGCTGGTGGCCAGGAGGCACACTTGCAGAATGTGCCTTTGGTTATTTAAAATATTATACATTCCTAATACATAACAATTTATTACATGTTTTGTGCACATTATTATATGTTTTTGTGTACATTCCACCACCACCCCCCAAAAAAAACAGAGGGAATGGAAGCAAATACTGTTGAATGATGATGCATGGAGGATACTGTAATCATTACAATGAAACAATGGTGTAAAGCCAATGTTCTCCCATGTAAACTATTAGTTGACAATAAAAACTTAAAAGTCAGGAAAGAAGACCAAAATGGATGTCAAAACACTTTGAAACTTGTTCTTGAGCATAGAAAAGCTACAGCAACTGGAAGAACTAACGAAGTAAAACAGCTAAACAGAAAAATTCAGAGGGAACCTCAAGAAGAGAAAGCAAAGTATTATAATGAAATGTGCAAACACTTGCAGTTAAAAAACCAGAAGGGAAGAAGAACATAATCAGTCAGCATTAATCAAGCTGAAAGAACTAAAGAAAAAATTCAATTCAAGGTTGTAATATTGAAGGATTCTATGGGCAAAATACAAAATGATATATGAGACATCAAAAGAAGGCAAAAGGAACACACAGAGTCACTGTACCAAAAAGAATTGGGCAATTTTGACAGAGGAACCATATGATCATATACTGATGGTACTGAAGGCACTGGTGAAAATAAGACTCTCTCATTTATGTTAAGAAATTTGGAAGACAGTTACCTGGTCAACCAACCGGAAAAGATATGTTATTTGTGCCCATTCCAAAGAAAGGTGACCAAACGGAATGCAGAAATCTCTAACAGTATCATTAATACCACATGTAAATAAAATTTTCCTGAAAATAATTTAAAAATGATTGCAGCACTCTATCAACAAGGAGCTGACAGGCATTTAAGCATTGCTGACATCAAATGGATTTTGGCTAAAAGTAGAGAATACCAGAAAGATGTTTACTTGTGCTTTACTGACTATGGAAAGGCTTGCGATTGTGTGGATCATGACAAACTATGGGTAACACTGAGAAGAATGGGTGTTCTAGAACATGTAATTGTGCTTATGAAGAACCTGTCCATAGACCAAAAGACAGGTGTTCAGAAAGAACAAGGGGATACTGATTGCCTTAAAATCAGGAAAAGCGTGTGCTAGGGCTGTATCCTTTCACCATACTTATTCAATCTTTACGAAGAGCAAATAATCTGAAAAGCTGGATTATATGAAGAATGTGGCATAAAATTAGAGGAAGGCTCATTAACACCCTATGATATGCAGATGATACAATCATGTTAGCTGGAAACAAGAGGACTCAAATTACTACCTTTTGAAGATCAAAGACTAGTCTTCAGGTGACTGCACCTCAATGCAAAGTTGGTACTCACAACAAGATCAATAAATATGACAAATAGAGAAAAGAATGAAGTTGTCAAAAACTTCAATTTGCCTACAATCAATACTCACAGCAGAGCTTAAGGAATGAAAGCCAAGATATAGATCCTGTCAATTCTCAGGCGCCACCCATTGGGATGATAATGCTCTCAGAAAAGCTTCTTTCATCCTAGTAGTCTCCTTCACTTATCTTAGTATACTACAGAATTATTATTTTCTATGTGCACCATGACATTTAAAAAAAAAAAAAAAAAAGAAAGGTGGAAAGCACTGCTGCTTACGTGTCAGAAGTCTTTACAAGCAAACCAAATTGACAAGAGCGTCTGCTAAATAAATCAGTGATACTCCTTTCTCACTCTGCATTTCTCCACTGGCACCAGCTACTAAAACCTGAAGTAAAATTACAATAAACATTGATGCCAATATTGCCAGGTTTAAGAGGTTTTTGTTTTTTAAAAAAGCACCAACTTACCTAATGTCTCTGGAGTGTTATACAGACCAACTAATGAGGGAGAAAACTTTAATCTATTGTCTCTGCTTTTAGTAAATGTTAGAGAAACAGGGAAAACAGACATAGCCTGAATTAGTGGTTTGAGTTTTCCTTCAGTATTGTAACCTAGACCTATATGGATATTATCAAATTATAAAATCAAGCTTTCGTTCTGACCTTGTGACTTATCAGAATCATTCTCCAGGTCACTGGTGACTTGTTTCAAGGGCTGCTGCTCAGAATCAGGTTCCTAAACAAGAGAAAAACACAAAAATACTTCAGTTCAGCATATATTAATATTTGAGACTTGGACAACACAAGTATTATATTTCTTAAACCCACTGACATAATGTCAATTCTGACTCTTAGCAATCTTATTAGACATTTGCACATACAGCTGCGGTAGTCTTATTCAGTAATGTTCTAAGTTACCAAGAAAAGGATTTACACCTGACTTGATAGTGCCTTTCAGTAAAAAACACAAAATGTTTGATGCTTACCAGATCAAACAACCTTCAGCTATTTAGAAAATTCACCAATGTGGAAAGATGAAAAACCTAATAATTACCGATTAACTGATTTAACTAAGATAGAAATGTTTACTTTCAAGAGAAAAGAATAGTCTCAAATCAATTTAACTGTAAGGAATATAGAGCTCTACAGTAGATATGTAGAAAAATAGATATATTGATATTTAGGTGAAATCAGCCTTCTTTACTCCATTAAGAATTACTGTAAATTATTCTTAAGAGTATAATGTAAATTCTAAAACTATTAAACAGGCAACTGAAGATAAGAGAGAATGATGCAACAAGAAATTCACCTTTGCACTAGAGTCCTCAGGACTAGAATGGCACGAGCCCTGCTGCTGGTATGAAGGGGATGGGGATGGCTGTCTCTGCTCTTTGTTTCGTTCATACACTCGAACTCGGGCACAAGTCATCATACTTTCAAAGTACAAGTACACTGGATCTTTGTCCTCTTCACGAATCTGTAAATATTATACAATAAGACATTCTATACATTGGGGAAAATCCCTAAACAAAAGGATGTTTCATCTTTGTTTCTGTTATATAACACTTGGCATTTTTAAAAACAAAGGTAAGGTTAAATACTATGCATACAGTCTGCATATGCTGAATTAGGAGCAGTCAGGAAGGATGCTGGTTCTCTATTAAGAAATTTCGTATCATATCAGAAAACAAAATGACTTAATTTCAGAGTTTCATTCGGTTCAACCCCTTAACTGATATTTTTTTATTTCCACCCCAAAGATATATTTTAACAAGATCTCCAGGGAATATGTACACATAAGGCTTATTTATACAGTATACACACACACACACAAACACATTCTCATATATATATGTATGTATAGGAATCAACCAAAAATCTAGTTAGAACCCATCATCTTTATAAGTATTTGTAACTTACAAGAGAAAATGAAGCTCAAAGCTTACCACAGGATTAGGTCTAGGAGTATATGGTTTTGCAGGTTTAATTCCAGTGAGCAGTTTGTTCTTCACAGTAGTAGATAGAACTTCTGGCGGAGGCAACAACAATGGTTTCATAGGCTCAATGACAGAGGGAGTTGGAACATAAACTGGCTCTGGATCTACTTCACCTTCTACTTTCACCCATAATGGGTAATGGCGAATGGGCTGTTCAGGCTCTGTTTCACATATAGCTTAACAAAAGGAAGGATAAAATTTTAGGTCCTTTTGTCAATAAAAGTTCAATGCTGAGGTATTGCCAAAATAAAATATGGTCCCTCAACAGAAAGTAATAATGAATTAAAACAATAGAATAGTTACAGATAAAACAAAGTTAGTGTCCTCACAGAGCTTATAATCTACTAAGAAAGAACAAATTAACAAATACCTAAAATGAGGTCATAAATCATGTGTAGAAAAACATAGCAGAATATAAGGGAATGAAGAATTAACAAGAAATGCTATTATATTTAACATGGTCTGAGAAGACCTTATTGAAAAGATACCACTGTATACCACATTTCAAATACTAACTGAACTGCTCTCCAAGCACTTGATAGGATTTAACTCATTTGACTGTTACAATAGCCCCAAAATAAATATTACTATTCTCATTTTATAGAAGCTAAGATCCAGGAGAGCAATGTAATAAGTATAAGAACTAGAGTCAAACCCAAGGGAGCCAGCTGAAGAGACCAAGGCATAATTGTTGCCTTCTGAAGATAAATCAGCATAAAGACAGGAGCACCTTCAGCAACTTAAGAGATGGATGTTTTAATTGTGTACATCCTATCCTCTCACAATGTCCAAAGTAGTTACATCATAAATGATGATAGACTTAAACAAAAGACCTACAGAATTGCCATGCTAACAATTCAGCACACTATAGTCCTCCTACTCCAATTTTACTGTGAAATATCCATACACAAAAGTACAGATTATCATATATGTACTGCTGAATAGTTTACACCCATATAAACACTACATAAAGAAACAGAATACTGCCATCATACCAATAAGTTCTTGCGTATCAACAACCTTACTTGTTCCACAAAAGACAATCATTTAAATGACAGCCACTTCCTTGCATTTCTAACACCAAAGTTTAATTTTGTCTGCTACTGAAATTTATGTAAATGGAATTATAACAATGTATTTTTTTACTTTATCTCACTCAAGGTTATATTTAAGAATATTCATGCTGTTTGCACATAGCTGTAATTCATTTGCTTTCTTCATACCATTGTTTAGCCATTCTACTGTTACTGTATTTTTCAGAGTTGTGTTCAAATTTAAGCTACTGTGAATCATGATGCCATAAGTAATTTTGTACAGACTGCTGTTGTTAAATGCCATCAAGCTGATTCTGGTAAAATACATAACTAGAGTTCTGCAGATTATTTAGGGTGAAGCTGCTAGACCAAGAGTTTATGAATCTAAATTTAGTCGCTAAGTGAAACTTGTGAGAGCCAAACTGGAAAGGACTCCTTGTTTTTCCAGATCTCACAAGTTTTCTGCTTTGACAGGGTATATACTCTTACCACTGTTTTACAGTTTGTCTAACTGGAAAATAATTGCAGTTTCTTTCTTTGGTAGGTTTCTGCTTTAAAGAGGTTGAAGTTTTCAAAGGTTTCACTGTGGTATTCAAACCAAAATATGAATGCAATTCTTTTTATTTAAAAAATTATTTGTTTTGGTTTTTAACATAAAATTATTTAAACCAATTTCTAAATTTACCGAAACAACTCTTTGTCTCCTTTAACTTTTCCATATTCCTTCAAAGCCTTCATATTAGATAAAAACTTGTATATAACTTAAAAGCCCAGGCTCTTTTAATGGCAGGTATTTATCATCTTCACAACTGTCTTTATATTGTGAGTCCACAATTTCTTACAGGTTTGTATCACCCATTTCTGTGGCAATTTCTTTGTTGAACCTATTTCTAAAATACGACCATAAATGTCATGTATTGTGTTTTGAATTGACATGATGTCTTGGGTTGTGTCGCTGGACTTCAAATCACAAGGATGGCAGTTCAAACCCACGAGCTGCTCCTGGGAAACCCTATACAGGGTCACTGTGAATCAGAACTGACTCAACAACACTTAACAACAACAATCAGGCTCAACAGTTTTCATTTTGTATACTACCATCATTGCCAAATAAGAAACTGTAGCTCTTAAAACATTTTCTTACATCTTATACTGCAAGTGATTCCATGGTTTTTTGGAGTTTATTTGAGCTCTGAAGCCAAACATTAGACACTAAGAGAATCTATTAACTTTTCAAAGTTCTGTCATTTCCTTTGCCTTTGTTTGCTGGATAGATCTTTAAACAGGAAAACTTCTAGCAGAGACCTGAAGAAAACACTCATATACAGACACTGATTTCTGCATCATTTTCATTCCTTCCTTTCATGATATTTATGTTTAATGCTACTCATTTATTTTTCAACTATTTATCCTTTTTAGAAATAAATGAGTAGATCTGCATTTTGTCTCATTTGAACTTAATTAAAACTTCCTTGATGGTGCTTTTCTCTTTAGTTATCATTTTGACATGTTAAATTTTTCCTTCAGAGATAAATTTTTCACTCTTATCTATAGCTGTGAAGGAATAAGCTTTTTTTAAAAAGGAAGTTATTGTTGTTAAGTGCTGTTGAGTCAGTTACGACCCATAATGACCTTATATAGGGTTTTCAAGGCCCAGCTGGTGTGCTTGAACCACTGACCTTGCAGTTCTAACGACTTTGCAGACTGACGCATTAGCCTACGGTGCTACACCAGGACTCCAAATAAGGAAGTAAGGTCTTATAAAAATTAAGTAATTTGGGGACCCTGTCCAGAGAAGCAGCTACAACAGAGATGGAGGCAGAGATGTTGACATGGAGAGAGAGAGCAGCTGAGGACTCTTGATTCATGGAAAGAGAGAGATTGAGTGCTGGCAGCCAGGAGGCAGACTTGTAGAATATATCCAAATGTGCCCCCTGTTGCCCTCAATCACTGGGTGCGTGGCTCAAACCAACACCAGAAGGTCTTCTCTTCTTGTGAATTTACACTTTTGTAAAAATATTACATGTTATACTGATCATCTGTATGCTTTCCAAGTAGCATCTGGGCAAAAGGAAAATAAACAATGAAAGATGACAACTGGATGAAACTTCAAAGTCACTCTGAAGTCCAAATAAGAGATTAACAAAAATTTAACACATACAAAAATAGCCATTCTCAGAGTAAATGTTCATTTTAAAAAGGCACATATGCCATATAAAAAGCACACTGAAAGATCGTAAGAATTTCTTAAAATACGGACAAGTAAGTAGATCAGGATTAAAATAGTTATTACTGTTTTAAAAGAAGCATAATTTCACAAAAAACTAAGACTACACTCTTGTTTTATATCATATCAATACTCACTATATTCCAGTTTCTTTCTCTTCTTTTTCTCTTTCAATAGTTCCTCTTCCTCCCTGACTTTGTCCTCTCCTTCTTCCCTTGACTCCTCTCCCAAAGTTTCATAAAATAATGGATCTTGAGGAGCAGCTTTCCTCTGAAAATGCTTAGTTTTGGATCCCCCTTTAACCAGTACAACTTTTCTTTTCAAACAAGTGCAGCCAAACATGCAGTCTGGTCGGCGGCAGTGAGCAGGCTGGCGTTTCTCCAAAGCTAGACTGGAGCATACACAACCCAGTCGACAGAAGTCATTGTTGCATGGAGGAGCTCGTTTTCTTATGATTGTGTGGATAGGTTTAGTTTTGAGAGATGCCTAAAATAAAAGTAGAAAATTGTAATTCTACTAAATTGCCCATATATATGATTGTTGTTGTTGTTAAGTGCCATCAAGTCAGTTCCAACCCATAGCGACCCTGTATATGGTTTCTGAGGAGCAGCTAGTGAGCCTGAGCTGCCTACCTTGCAGTTCAAACGGCTTTGCAGTCTAGTGCACTAACCCACAGCGCCACACCAAGACTCCAATAGAATCATGTATTTGCTCTGCCTGGTCTACCTTCTTTTCTGAATAACAGCACAAGGTTAACACAGATTTAAGGGACAGATCATAACTGAAGACAAAAGACTGTAAACAACCCCTCATTCTAATACACGGCATTGACTAACATTACAAAAATTCCATTAATTAGCTAAAGCAGCAACAAAGATTAAATACACCTTACAATAAAAAAATGTATACAATTATCTAGGGCAGGAGTGAGGAACCTTTTTTCTGCCAAAATTGACAACATCATTTGTGGTCCATACAAAATCATCAACTTAAAAATTAACCTGCCATAATTGGTCAAACATTTAATTAACTCATCCCTGAGGCGGTACTGACTCAATGGCACCTAACAACAACAACGTGATGACTGAAACTACAGTTGTCTTGGCAAGACCAGAGCAAATTATTTCAAGGGTCTTGTCTGGCCCCCCACCCCTATTCTAAGGCAAGAGTGTACAAACTACTGTCCAAAGAACAAATACAGCCTGTTTTGTAACTAAGGTTTATTAAAATACAGCAGTTCCATATTTGCATATTATCTATAGCACTACACAATACAGCTAAGTAAATGCAACAGAGTCAGTTGTTGTTGTTGTTATGTGCTGTGGAGTCGATTCTGACTCATAGTGACCCTGCACAGGGTTTTCGAGGCTGTAAATCTTTACGGGAGCAGAAAGCCTCATCTTTCTCCCGCAGAACAGCTGGTAGTTTTAAATTGCTGACCTTGCGGTTTGCGGCCCGATTCATAACTACTATGCTACCAGAGATCCTAATAGAGCCAGTATGGCCTACAAAATCTAAAATATTTAGTCTCCAGCACTTTACAGAAAGTTTTACCATCCCTGTTCTAAGATAATTAATAAAAAGGAGAAAGGATAATACATGCACAAAAGTCTTTGGAAATTATTAATAATAAAAGACACATCCTGCACTTAGTCCCAATATATGATGATCTTCAGCTCTAGCATTTAGTCACAGAATTAAAAAAATGAAAGGTGTGGCATACAAATTCATGGTTCAAAAATAACCAACATGTTGCATTATTGTGCATTCATATAAATAAAATATTCTTAATATAAAATTTTACAAATGAAGTTTTGTTTCTCAATATGGTTGTTTTGCTGTTGTTATTTTCCCTCTGTGCTGCAAGATAAGCACTAGACTGATAACCACAAGGTCAGCAGTTTAAATCCGTAAGCTGCTCCTTTGAAGCACTATACAGGGTTGCTATAAATCCATGGCATTAACAACAAAGCAGAATTTTACAGCTGTTTTAACAAGATCAACAAATGTATGCAGGAATGAAACTAGAGATTTTAAAAATAGCCAACTGCCTTTAGCACAGTGGTTACGAATCGGGCTGCTAACTTCAAGGTTGGCAGTTTGAAACTACCAGCTGTTCTGCAGGAGAAAGATGAGGCTTTCTGCTCCCTTAAAGATCTGCAGCCTCGGAAACCCTGTGTAGTACTTAATCTTAAAACTTAACTGCCTTTATACAGGAGAGGGACGTTATTCTAAAGCAGGAAAGATCCACCTATATTTGAATTTCTAGTTTGCAAAAAAGAACACATGGAGAAAGTGTTGTTGACCGTCCAAACCACAGGCTCTGAGGATCAGACTTTAGCCACCTAGTAGACAAAGCAAACTGTCCCTCATCTGATTATTCAGTAATGCTTGTTAGTAATCTCATACATGAGCCCTGGATATCCACAGACAAATGTAAAAACCTTCCCTAAAAGCCGAGACTGTAAATTCCAAAAAGGCAAGTCCCCCCAACACCCAAAAAAAAAAAACGCTAAAGAGGATAGAGAGAAACACTGTTAACTGATGATATATGGAGGGGATAATAATCAATGTAATGAAACAAGCTATATGAATGGTTGAATGTGAAGCTGATGATGTGCCCTGTAAACTTTCACTCAATCCAAAATAAAAACATTGAATAAAAAAAAAAAAAAAAGAACACATGGAGAGGATATCTCTTAGCTTGCTTTTAACAAAGTAACTAAATGCTTAAAACTTCGTGCCCCTAAACCCTATTCCCAATTTTCCCTCACAAACTTCACTTTCTAGCCAAGCACTAATATGCTTCCAGAAAACAGAAGATACTTACTTGAGCTGTAAGTAGCGTTGTTAAGGATACATCAGCTCGTTCTTCAGTGATATAGGTCCTTGGTTTTCCTTCCCAAAGTGCACAATCCTCCAGGTCCATTAGCTTCACCTGAGATTTTGACAAGCCTGGAGGACGAGTTCCCTGAAACGGCTGCTGTTGTTGTTGCTGCTGCTGCTGCTGCTGGTGTGCCTGCCGCAAATTGATCTGCTTTGGAAAAACGTTTTCCTCTGAAGCTGGCACAACAAAGTTATTCACCTGGTTTTCTGGGATGGTACTTGAAGAATTCTTGGTAACCCTATCTCCTGGAATCACATGAGAGTGTTTCTGTTTTGGTGAAACAGGATATGGTAAAATGGATTTATAAGATGATTTACTTCTGCCAGTAAAATTTGGCTGTTTGTTTTGAGATTTCAACTTTCGAGAAGTAGGAGGTACAGAATGAGGCTTCAAAGAGTAAGAGGTAGAAGGGGAAATGGTAGATTGCTTCTTTAGTACACTATCAAGTGTTCGTACATAGCTGGTACTCTTGGTGGGAAGCTGGTATACCACAGGAGATGTGGGAGCATTGGAAGAGAAACCCATGCTTGTTTCCATCAGTTTGCCTTCATTTTCCAAATACTCATCTAGTTTGTCACTACAGAAAGCAGAACGGTTTTTCAGTGAACCATCTGAATTGCCCCCTAGAAATAAAGAGACACAAGATACTTTTTTGGTATTGCTTATCTAAGTTGCCTTAATTTTTTTGTTTTAATTACACAAACATGTATAAAACTTTCTATTTTATAAAACACAAACAACAGGGGATAAGATCGTATGATTCAACAGTGAGTTATTGTTATCATGACTAATTGGAACTGTCACAATTATAAAGGTATATGTTTTGTAACAAAAACGGGGAGTAATCTTACAGTCCAGAAACAGAGGACTCTCTGGACCATCAAGGTTGAAGAGCATGAGTGGAATGCGGGACACTATCCAGAGAAGCAGGGACACCAGAGATGGAGGCAGCAATGAGGACATGGAGAGAGGGAGAAGCTGAGGATTCTAGATTCATGGAAAGAGAGGGGCTGAGAGCTGGCGTCCAGGAGGTAGGCTTGCAGAATGTACCCTTTGGTGTTTAAAAAAAACAAAACCCCTACATGAATAGAGAGAAATATTGCTAACTGATGGTACATAGAGAGGATTATAATCATTGTAATGAAATAAACATTATGAATTGTACAATGTTAAATTGATGATGTGTCCTGTAGACTTTCAATATACACATAAAGAGAAAAAAAAAAAAAAAACCCTCCACAAACAACAAATCTTTAGAAAAAAAAAAGCAAGACACATTGGATTACAAACTACAAAATCTTCTAAACTTCTGTCCTCAGAAAGAAGGCAAAATATAAAACCAAGAGAACAGATTGGATTCAGACAATAATTGCATTAATAACAAATCTCTAAGGAAAATGATGATGTTTACTTAAATTATGCCTTACCCCCAAATTATCAAGCTGCACAATTATTGAACATTAACTATTTGATACCACCACTTGTCTTTCAGTTTGTCAAACTGTGGTGGTATGTGTATTGCTGTGATACTGGAAGCTATGCCACAAACAGGGTAACCTACAGTGAAATGGTTTCAGTGGTGCTTCCAGACTAGGAAGGAGAGACAGATCACTTCTGAATGATTAGTCACAGAAATCCTTAGGAACAGAAGCAGAACACTGTCAGATACAGTGCTGGAAGATGAGACCATCAGGTTGGAAGGCACTCAAAACATGAAAAGGAAAGAGCTGCCTTCTTAAAGTAGGTAATGGTGGAGGCTGTGTGCCACCAATCCAGTACTGATTCATAGCAACCCTGTATAGGGTTTCTAAGGTTTAAGTCTGTATGGGGGCAGAATGCCTCGTCTTTCTTCCTCGAGTGAACTGCTGACTTTGCAGTTAGCAGGCCAACTCATAATGCACGAAGCTACCAGAGTTCTTTCCACAAACTAGAGTTGACCTTAATTATGTGAATTAAGCAAAGCTTTCAGGTACTTCACTTGCTGATGGGGCATACCTCAAAATGAGAAGAAATGGCTACAATCTATTAATAATCAGAACCTGGAATGTATGAAGTATGAATCTAGGAAAATTGGAAGTTATTAGAAATGAAATAGAGCACATAATGATCAATATTCTGTATTAATTAGTGAGCTGAAATTCACTGATACTGGCCATTTTAAATCTGACAATCATGTGATTTACTATGCCAGGAACCAACAAATTGAAGAGGAATGCCATTTACTTCAAGATCTATCTCAACATATAGCTCTGTCTGTGATAGGATAACATCCATATACCTACTAGAAGACCATTAATACCATTATTACTCAAATTTACTCATCTACTACTAAAGCCAATGATGATGAAATTTAAGAATTATACTAAGTTCATCAGTTAGAAACTGATCAAACATGCAATTATTATTGATGACTGGAATACTGAAGTTGAAAACAGATAGGAAGAATCTACAGATGGAAAATATGGCTTTAGTGATGCAAAAGATCTGGAGATAATGACAGAATTTGAAAGAACAATGACTTATTCACTGCAAATACATTTTTTTCAACAACATAAAAGGTGAATACATCTGGACCTCACCAGATGGAATACACAAGAATCAAAGTGACTATCTCTGTGGAAGAGAGATAATAGAGAAGTTCAGTATCACCAAGCCAAACGAGGCCAGGGACGGTCTGTGGAACACACCATCAATTGTTCATATATAAGCTCAAAATGAAGCTGAAAAAAATGAAAACATGTCCACAAGAACCAAAATATGAGCTCAACTATACCCCACTTAAATTTAGAGACCATTTCAAGAACAGACTTGATGGATTAGACATTAATGACCAAAGACCAGAAAAGTTGTGGGATGATATCAAGAACATCATACAGGAAGAACACAAAAGTTCATTAAAAAGATAGGAAAGAAAAAGAGAAAACTGGATGTCACATGAGATTCTAAAACTTAACTCTTGAATGCAGAGAAGCTAAGGAAAACTGGGAAAAATAAGGAAGCAAAAGAGCTAAATATAAAATTTCAAAAGGCAGCCAGAAAAGAGAAAGTGTACAAAAAAAAAAGGTGCCAAAACTTGGAGTTAGAAAATCAAAAATTAAAAACTTGCTCAACATTTCTCAAGCTGAAAGAAATAAAGAAAAAAATTAAAGCCTCAGTTTGTAATAGTGAAGGATTTGATGCACAAAATGTTGAACAACGCTGTTAACATCAAATTAAGATGGAAGGAATATACAGTCACTGTAGGAAAAAAGAACTGGTTGATGTGCTATCATTTCAAGAGAGACCATATGACCAAAAACTGATGGTACTGAAGAATGAAATCCAAGCAGCATTGAAGGCATTGATGAAAAACAAGGCTCCAGGAATTGATGATACACATTAAAATGTGTCAACAAACTGATGGAGTGCTGGAGACACTCATCTGACCCAAGGGAATTTGGAAATCACTACTATCACATGCAAGAAAAACTTTGCTGAATATAATTTAAAAGTGGTTGCAGTAGTACACCAACAGAGAGCTGCCAGAAATTCAAGCTGGAGTCAGAGGAGGATGTGAAATGAGGGACTACCACTGCTGACATTAGATGGATCCTGGCCAAAAATAGAGAATATCAGAATGATATTTACTTGTGCTTTATTGACTATGCAAAGGTATTTGACTGTGTGGATCATACGAAACTATGGATAATTTTAAAAGAATGGGTATTTCACCTAGGTCCATCAAGGGAGAAGAGCAGGAGCGGAATGTGGGACTCTATCCAGAAAGGCAGCGACATCAAAGATAGAGGCAGAGATGAAAACATGGAGAGACAGAGCAGCTGAGGACTGTAGACTCACGGAAAGAGAAAGACTGAGTGCTGGTGACCAGGAGGCAGGCCCTTTGGTTGTTTAAATTATTATACATTCCTGAGTGGTTTTGTATACAAAAAACAAAACAAAAACGGAATGGAAGCAAATACTGTTGAATGATGATGGACGGAGGAGATTGTAATCACTACAATGAAACGACTGAGTGTAAAACTGATGCTCCCCCATGTAAACTATGACTCAATTCACAATAAAAACTTAAAAAAAAAAAAGAATGGGTATTCCAGAACACTTAATTTGTGGTCTAGACCCAAAGAAGAGAATAAAGAATGGTTCAAAATCAGGAAAAATGTATGATGGATTGTCTCCTTTCACCATACTTATCTCCAATCTATATGCAAAGCAAATAATCAGAGAAGCTAGATTATTTGAAGCAGAACATGGCATCAGGATTGGAGGAAGAGTTACTGACAACCTGCTATATGCAAATGACACAATCTTGCTTACTGAAAGTGAGAAAATTTGAAGCACAGATGAAAATCAAAGACCACAAACTTTAGTAAGGATTGAGCCCCAATGTACACAAAACAAAAATGCTCACAAATGGACTAATGAATAACATTATGATAAATGGAGTTTTAGTGTAGTGCTAAAGGATAGCACTAAACTTCTAACCACCGACATTGCTTTGTAAACACTACACAGGGTTGTTATGAGTCAGAACCAACTTGACAGCACTTAAAAGCAACAACAAATGGAGAAAAGATTGAATTTGTCATAGACTTCATTTTGCTTTGATCCACAATCAATGCTCATGGAAGCCAGCAGCTAAGGTATCAAACAACACATTTGTATTAAGCAAATCTGCTGCAAAAGACTTCTTTAAAATGTTAAAATGCTGTGGTATTTTCTATAGCCTTATATGTATATCAGTGGGAGAAATATGAGGCTTTCTACTCCCGTAAAGATTCACACCCTCGGAAACCTTGTACAGGGTCGCTATGGGTCGGAACCGACTCGACGGCACTTAACAACAACAACAACAACATATGTATATCAAAGTTGGACAGTAAATAATGAAGATCGTAGAAGAGGCAATGCATTTGAATTATAGTGTTGGTGAAGAATATTTAAAGTACCATGGACTGTCAAAAGAACAAATAAATTTCTCCTGGAAGAAGGACAGCCAGAATGCTACTCAGAAGCTAGGATGTCAAGACCTCGTCTCTCATCCTTTGGACATGTTATTAGAAGGGACTAGTCTCTGGAGGGGACATCATACTTGGTGAAGTGGAGGGTCAGAGAAAAAGATGAAGATGTCCCTACCCACCCCCCACCCCCCAACCAGATGAACTGATACAGTGGCAGAGGTAATGGGCATAAATGTAACAATTGTGAGGATGGCACAGGGCCAGGCAGTGTTTCATTCTATAGTGCATAGGGTCACTATGAGTTGGAACCAACTTAATGAAAGCTAACAAAAACAACTATCTGTCAAATGTTCATATACAAATTAACATGAAAGTTTTCAACCTTTGACAACTTAAGATCTAACTATCTTAAATTGTTAAAGGATCACAGTTAATTAAAAATACAGTAAGAGACAAGAATATACTTAAATCAAGTCAGACCAATAAGATGCCAAAAGATTAGTTCAGACATTAGAGCAGTATCTTGAGTCTGATACAAAATGCTGAGCAAGAAGTAAAATATCAAAAAGAGGAGTATAAACTTTAGTTTTTAAGTGCTGCGGTAACGTTAATGTGCTGGATTGCAAGATCAGTTTGAACCACAAGGTTGATGGTTCAAGCTCACCAGCTGCTCTTCAGAAACCCTATACAGGGTTGTATGAGTCAGAACCAATTTGACGGCACTTAATAACAACAACAACAAAAAGCCAAAGAGCAAGTTTAGTAGAAAGATAAGCATTACACTGTAAAACAGCTCAAAGATGTAGATTGGGAAAACTATTTTAGACAAATGAACAATACATTTATCTGGTTACAATGTAAACTGCTAATAAGTGAAAACAAAGAAAGGATATCATATAGTCAAAATACTAAGAACAGAAGTTCACTCTGATAGCGTTATACAAGGGGATTTCAAAAAGTTCATGGAAAATCTATACTCCTTTAATTCCATTTTCCCACAAACTTTTTGAAGCTCCCTCATATAAATAAAGCTACTGAAATCATTAAAGCTCTAAAAGCTAACATTTGAAAATTATGCTTGAGGAGAATGAGGCTTTTTCTTACTGTGCAAATACCAGAAGGAAAAAGTAGTTTTAAAAGGCTACTGAGA